GACTTAATTTGTTGAAGTTAAAAAAAGCCGACAAATTATTTTGCATAATTACATCATTTTATTCCTGTAAAATACATCAATGTATATTTAATACAGTTTGTGCCATCTAGTGGGTATATCTATTTGGTATAAAATATGACCAATTAGTGTGAATATTTTATTCAAATTACCCCCAGTCATTATTTCATTTATTGGCAGAATTCTGGCCATTAGCTGCCTGACCTGAAATGACCTAGTTACAGGAGGAAAGCAGTGATTTAAGGTCAGTGTTAGACCTCTGCTTGCAGTGTATATTTGCTCAACCTAATGCTGGCACTAATTGGTTACATATGGTTTATATTTCAGCCTCAATTACCAGATATATCAGACCAGCAGCCAATGTAAATATACAGCAAGGTCATTTCAGGACATGGGAATTCATAGACTACAATTTTACAGCTTGAAATACTTTGTTGAATAATCAGCAAAGTAATTAATGTTTAATACTTGTAACTTGCAAAAGTATCATTATTCTATCTTAAGTTATTACAGTTTATCACTCACCACTTTACTTAGTTATAACTTTATAATTAAGAACAATTTATCTGTTGACATGTTTATTTCTCAGGATGAAAACAACAACTTATTTTGCCATTGTTATTTTTTTTAGATCAGCATACATTATTTATAGGTAAAATGTTTTAATCTGTATCAGGTGAAATAAACACACTTGTCCGTCTCAACCTTTCATCATTTGACGAAAATTTTAAAATGAGTACTGAGTGAGTACAGTGCAGACCATGATCAGCTGGCATACCAGCGGTCTGCACTTTTCACATGGTCAGATCCAATCACCACCAACTCGCTAAAGGTTTAAAGATCTGTGCAAGTTCTTAATTATAAAATTTTTCTTGGCCATTAAATATTTCCAGTGAAGGCTGGCCTAAAGTGAACTCACTAAAGAATAATATTGCATTATGTTTACTTTTTCATTTTGAACATACTGGTACATTAATCTTTCTGACAGATTAAATATTGTACTCTTATATAATACTGTAATACAATTTACATGTAATGCTTAAAGCTGTATTAGCCACATTCTCTCAAGGTCTCTTGACTGATAGTCTTAATTCTCAAGTGTTTCTGTGTAAACCTAGTTATCAATGGAGGTTGCGGTCACTTGAGGACAACCTGACCAATTGATAGCAACACCTGTGATCACATGATCACACTGACCTGGATTGTGGCCAACACAAACAACAGGTCATTATGTACTGAAATTCAGACATGGCTATTTCCCATTATGATAATGGGCAATTGGAGAAGATAGCAAATAATGAAAGGGTTGACATAAAAAGTTTAACACAGTTTTGTTCACCACTCAGGCACAATTGCTGGGGTTTACTAAACAATGCTATTGTTTGGGCTGGGTTGTTGGTTTATCTGTTTGATAGCAGAAAGAGAGGGATAAGTGTTTCCCTAGCAAAGTTTCTAAGAAAGTTTCTAAGCAAGATCCAGAATGTTAATGTTTAATTTATAATTTCAATTTTTGTTTTTTGAAATTCTCAAATTTTTATTGTATAATAGATACGTTTTTAGCGCTTTTCATTATTGACCAACAGCATCTTACTAGTTGATCATGTGACAAGCCTCACACCTTTAATTCCTACTGTAATTATAAGTTAACATGTCATTGTAGCTGTTGATTCACAAATGTCTGCTATTTCTATTTATAGCCAAAAGAATCACATAGCTAATAATTCCATCATTCATTTAATGTCATGTTTTCTCTAGAAGTAATTAATCCATGCACAATAATATCTGTTTCAACAGTGTAGCTTTTTGTTGCTGTTTTTCTCTCCACTTTTTCTTTCAGTTTTAACATAACAAATCCCGCATTGACACAATTAAATTGTAGTATAAAGGTTTACAGTATTATTGAATACCGGCAATGAAAAGCTGCTTGACCGACTGTTGTCTCTGTGACCTACCTGACTGGTCAATTGACCCACTGAATGACCTGATGTGTACTCAATGTGCTCTGTGGTAAGGTTTTTGACCTGTATTTTTCTGCTTTTGACCAAGTGCAAACTGACCAGTGGTCATTGTGTCCTAAATTGACCAACTTTAGCAGAAAAGTAAGTCAAATAAACCAAGAAGTAGAGCATGTTGACATTCTCATCTTTTAGCCTACAGATAAGTATACAATTAGTATAAACCTGAGTTTGGTCAGCACTTTTAATTGTTACATAAAATTGTGAACTTGTTCAAAGATAAGATACATATAGTTAATATAAAGATTATACAAAAAAACCTTTGGTTTGGCGCCCATCAGTTGTCAGTATAAGGCAGTTTAAAGGTCTAGGTGACCAGTGTAGAACCTGGCTAGCCATACAGGACCGTTTAAACAGACACAAATGTGGAGGATATTTGTTTAATCTCCTGTTACTGACATAAGATGGCTGAGGTCATTGATCAATGTGTTCAATGTTTCACACACAACACTTACAAGATTATGTTTTGGAGAATCAAAGTAATTAGCTCCACAAATTGTTGATTCCCCTGGTCAGGCTGACATGTGATTATCTCTGCTAGCTTTCAGTCTGCCAGAAAAAATAAAACTTCTTGCCAACAGACATTTCTCACCTGATTCTGTTTTGATATATTTCATGTAATGCCACCCTATTATACATGACCAGACTGGTATTCTAGGTTTTAAGAATTATCCAGCTTTTACCTTTCACACTATCCTTCAGATTTCATAGTTTTCTTTGAGTTTGAAAGAGAGTTTTGAATTTGATTTTTTATTAAGATTTGAGAGTTTTTTCATTGTTTAGTTTTGTAGTGCACTTAAGGTATCTTCTAAGGTATGATAAGAAAAATGAGAGTTTGAAATTATTATCTTTTCCTTCTCTTGTTTTTAAGTAACAATATGACATTAACATTAAATTTCTTATCTGAAGCTCTTGCTCACTTAACTATCTTCTCTTGAATTACTTGCAGAGAGCATGAATTGAATCAAATTGAATGGAGCTCTAGAATTTTAATCATTCACTGCGCAGAGATGTGGACTGTACGTTGATCTTATAATCATTTAAGTACCTATACCTCACAAAAACAATAAATGATATACAAAATATGTTTTGAAGATATATAAGTATAAAGCAGTATGACTTAGTATGGCTTTTGTATAATAGCATAAAATTCAATGCTCTCCCTAATTGATATAATGCACACTTTAATTAAATTTAACCTCTCTTGAATCATTATGCTTGATGCATTTGGTATAATAGCATGTATAAATTCATTTTTTATTTTTAAAAAGGAGCAAATAATTAATGTGCCAAGAATATGCCAAGAAATCTATTTAAAGAGAGCGCATTCTCACCAAATTTAGCTGTGCATTCAAACAATTCAAGAGATGTTCAAATAGTTTCAGATCAAATATAAATCTAGATTCATGTTAATTATGGGTTACGTGCAGATAATCTACTTGATGTTAGTCTATCAAACTTAACTTTTAAATAATTGATATAGTTTTAGTTTCCTGTTTAAAGACTGAATTTAAACACTTAAAATATAGTTTGTGTAAAATAGTTTTTTTTGTGTTTTTTTTTTTCAACAAAAACTTTGATGGATATTCTTTACTAATACTCTTGATATTACGTATTGTTTCTGTACCAATGAAATATATGGGGAAGGAAACTACTTCGAGTTGATGGACATTTATGGGTTTAACCAATCATTTTAATGATTGTTTGCACGTTTTAGATGTATGAGTGATGAATAAGTGTTTGACCTGAATATGTCAGAGTGTCACTAACTGCGGACAATGTCATTAAAGTCTAGGGTCATTAAAAATGTCGCAGTGAATAAAAGTAAAGCTCGCCAGCGGCTAACATTTTTATATCAGTTACATACTTCAGTTTGAACTATTGTTGAATTCGTGATGAAATTATTGGCAATTTGCCAAATGTAAACATTGAAATTTTTATATATTCTTCATTTTTAGTATATTATGGATGGCCTGTGGTCATTATTGAGTGTATATTTGAATAAAATTAGCGACAACATTTGCTAATGGTATGTGGACAAATATAAACTCATTTTTTGTAGGAGAATAGAGTACATTTTGTATATACATGTAGTATTTCTTTATTATACTTCTATAGATCCATTGTTGATTTGTCTATATAATAAAACAAGCATTACTATAATTATGACCTGTAGACCGTACTGTCAATGATTATTTTGTACATGTATGTTAACAACAGGTAGGCTATACATTTCACTAATCGATAGGATGGACAGCATTCAAATGTTTTTAAGATTTCAAAGTTCTAATTTCTTGACAGATTCCTTAAAGTTATCATCAACTGTAAAGTTTCTTTGAAGTACAAAGTGTCTTATCATCAATAATGAATAGTCCAGAGAAATTCTGTTTTCTTGTACATGATAAATTATTCATGCCAAAAGTCATTTGAAACCATTATCTTGCAGAATTTTTTTTTTTGACTGACCTTATAGGAAAATCTATGTTATTAGATTATCTCAGTGTCCTCATTGGCTGGTCAAAACTGGCCCACTACCGTTATCAGTCAAGTATCTGTCAGTGCCCATATCTAGGACACACAGTTGGCTATTAATATAACCTTTCCTGGTCAGTGTACTGTATAGATATATATATACATATTAACTCAGACAGTATATACATGTAAACATGTGATAAGCTACTCTATTGCAGTATTGTGTCTTGAAAGACCTCTTTATTTGTTTATAATTAATTTGTATACTGGTATAACTTGAAGATACATATTGAATATATCCAGTGGCCGACTACATTGTTAATGAAAGGGAGACAAATCATTTTGATCACTTAACTGTTTTTGTGACAATCATTTTAATAATGATGTTTTAATGTTTGGTTTGAAGCTATTGCAGATAACATCTTATTCTCTTCAGTATTTTTAGCTTATGAAAACACCCGTATGATTTAAATGTTATTTTGATCTATATTTCAGAGCCATTAAAGTTTACATGTGAAACATGCCGGAAGACTTATAGTTCTGCATGGAATTTGTTACAACATGCTCAGCGTGAACATGGAATGCGTATCTATGTTCCTTCATCAACAAGAGATTCATTCACACCTTCACATTCTCCGAGAATATCAACACCAAACTCACAGAAGAGTAAAAAATCTGACGATCTTGGTCGCGACTTTGACAAATGTAAAGATGATAGACATGACAATATCTCAGGAAAAGAGAGAATTCGAAGTGATTCAACTGAACCACTCCGAACAACATCTTCAGTTGGGTCCGCTAGTAGTGGAGAGGGGCCACTCTCAGGTCATCCCTCACCTCACAATCCTTTCATGTTTCCAAGAATGCCATTTACTGATGTTCGGCATCCACTTTCACCTATCACAGGAATGGGCTTACGTGGCCTTCCTGGTGATCTACGACTGGACTTGGTTGATCCGTACCACAGACTTCCATTTGGGTTACCACAATTTGATCACAGGCCCTCAGCACCTTTTCATTTTAGTGATCAGAGGCCACGTTCTGGAATGAGTCTTGATGACTTTTACTCACAAAGATTACGTCAACTTGCTTCATCAACATCTCCATCCCCAGGGAGAAAGCATACACCCCCGTTTTCCCAAGCATCTTCTGGTTCAGGTGGGAGAGGACCAGGCATGTTTTCATCAGTCACACCTCCTGGTACATCAAACCAGTCAAGTAATATAGAGAAATCTGGTGATAACCCAAGAAGTCTCACACCCCCAGGAAATCAGAAATCTTGTGAATTTTGTGGCAAGGAGTTCCGGTTCCAAAGTAACTTGATTGTTCATAGAAGATCTCACACAGGAGAAAAGCCATTCAAATGTCCTCTTTGTCCGCATGCTTGTACCCAGCAAAGCAAATTAAAGCGGCATATGAAAACACACTCAAAGCAGGGAGGTATGACTATGGGCTCAATGTCAAATGCATCAGAAGGCAGTCATGCCTCAAGTAGTAGTACACCAGACTCAAGTAAAATGGCAGATGAAGATGACCCTGATGATGATGAGGAAGAAGAAGAAGAAGAAGAGGAGGATGAGGAAGATATAGAAATGATCAATATGGTAGGGATGTCAGGACATGGGGATGAACACAAGAAAGAACCATATAAAGACTTAAGTAAATACTCTGGTAAAAGTGAGTTGGCAGCTAGGCTTTTTGATCAAAGGATTGAAGAAACAATCACAAGTGAGTTAATTAAAGACTCAAGAGAGCAGACGGACAGACATGGGTCTTTGCTATCTGATGTTATGGAGTGCACAGGTTTTAAAAATATACCTATCTACAACGAATCATTAAAACTAGCAATGGCAGAGAAATATTCTCCCAGTGAAGCTCGACCAAGAAGTTCTTCAAATACAGATGGCAGTCGCCCTTCTAGTGCAAAGTCTAATGATCTTGATGAGAGAGAACGTGGAACAAAACGAGAGAAACCATTGGAAGACAGTATAATGTCTATATCAAAAATGATAAAGAGGGAACCACATGAAAAAATTGGTACCCCGCCTGCTAGTACCCCTCCAGTGTCATCTTCACCAAGAATGAATAATGTTATGGAACCATCTTTCTTCCCTAACATATGGTTTCCAGCAGGGCCTCCAGATTTCTTTGGCAGTCGATTTCCATTAAGATATGGCATGGGAGAGGGAAATCAAGATTCAATACCAAATGGAATAGGTTTATCAACACCAGGTGATATGCCACATTCACATAGTATTAACAGCTCTCAAAGTAATGCCACCTCACCTACTACACCACTTCCAACCAATGGCACCACTCCTTCTGCATCACAGAGACGAGAGAAAACTCGCAATGATACTTGTGAATTTTGTGGTAAAGTCTTCAAAAACTGCAGCAATTTGACTGTCCATCGCAGATCACACACAGGTGAAAAGCCATACAAATGCATGCTGTGCAGTTATGCATGCGCACAATCGAGTAAGCTCACACGCCATATGAAAACCCATGGCCGATTTGGCAAAGATGTCTACAAATGCAAGTTCTGTGGAATGCCATTCTCTGTTCCCAGCACTCTTGAGAAGCACATGAGAAAATGTGTTGAGAACACAAACAAATCAGCCCTACCTGATAATGAAGATACCGGTTCTAATAGTGATGCTGCATCTGCCTCAGACAGTCAATCAGCTACCACAATGTCTATGTCGCTGCCCACTACACCAATGTCACTGTCATCATCCTTTGGGCTAAACATGCCATTTTCTATTCAGAGTAACTTTGAGAAACACATGAATCGTTTAGCAGAGATTGATGGCGACAATAATGGTTCAAATGGAGACCCACATTCTGCGTCTGTTACTCCAACTTCTTTTTCCCTCACAAGCAGTTTTGAGAAGCAAAATAATTCGCTCTTAGATGGCAACAACACAGGTTCAAACAGCGATAAGACATCATTGTCAGGCACATCAACGACCTCGAACACAGCAGTGTCATTTCCAAGTACAACTCTATCTCTAGCCTCAAGTCTAGCACTAACGAATGCAAGTATATTGCACAACTTAAAGTTGGAAAACATGAGGAATCGGGAAGAGTCTGGTGTACCATCAGAGTCTTTCACAACTTCTCCTCTTGCTAGCCTCGGACTTCAAAACTCAAGTTTATTACATAGTATCAAAAGAGAAAGCTTGGATAAAGTTCAAGTAGAAAATGCATCAAATATATAGCTTAAGTAGTTTTAGAATTCTATAAAAGCATAATAAATTGTACAGTTCTTCTTAGAGGATATGAATCATACAAGATAACAGTTGTTTTGAATTTTAAAGAAGAAAAAATTAGCTTTTGAGTTGTTTAGCACAATTGTCCCTCCTTCTCTAGGAGAGGTTATTATTTAACTGCTACAATTTTGTCTTAAAAAGAAAAGTTAGTCAGTTAAATTTTAAATTTAATTTTTAAAATATTATTTTAAGTTGTTCATAGACTCATTTTTTGCTCAATATGTTTTTGTGAATCATGCCATATAATATTTGCTGTGACATTAGGCAGCATACAATTTCTAACACAACCATGTTGGTTTTTTTGTTATTTTTCATTTACTATAGTGAATAGTGCTGTTTGAATTTTTAAGTGTATATATAAATAAACCAGCTCAGATAAAATGGACTAACAGTTGTGAAGATATACATCTAGTTTTGAGCTGGTGCTGTAGCAGGGAACTGTCAAACACAATATGATGACATTATTTGTGTTTTTTAAAAAAATAATAGAAAGGTTATTGCGTTGACAGAAAGAACCAGAGATAAGTACAAGTTGAGTTTGGTGCCAAAAGATTGAGGAGCGCATTTGTTACTTGAACGGCTAACCTGAACAAATAAGGCAAATTTAATACATTTTTTGTTATTTGTCATAATAGAACGTGGATACCTCTACAGATGTTATTTTCTTAGTGCTCAAAACAGTTACAAGGAAATTTGTGGGTTATCTTTCTGTTGCTTACATTTTGTGGGTAATCTGAAGAAAGTGACACAAAGAAGTTTGTGATTACTATTGGGATGTGTACCCAACCATATGTGACATCAAAGTTTTTGTGTGTATAATCCACAGAACAAATCTTTTTTTTGTATAATTATCATTTAGTGTGTGATTTTGAAAACTTGATATTAGTGGTCTCTATTACTAGATGTTACTATTGTAAGTAAATCACTGTGTGTTAACATAGAACTGTTTCTATGGAAACCAGGGTTGTTAAATATGTAGCTGTAGACAACTAGATATACTTTTTGAATTTTCTTTGACCGTGTCATATTATTGTTTGTATGGTTTGATTGTTATTTGATTTGTCTGGAAAACAAAGTTGTTTTTTTTTAAACTATCCCCCATGACATTATGTAAATAGCTACTATTGTATTGGTGCTTGTGTATATTAGCTTAAAAACACATTGTGTAAAAGGGCGCATGACATTAAGTGTACTATAATACGAGACTTATACCATATACACAACTATATTACATCCATTGATCGCAATCAATAAATTGATGACTAGGAACATAATCACTAAAATAGCATGGGATATCATACTATAGAAAATGATACATCTAATCATTAATGGCAATCAGCAAAATTCAAGTACCAACTTTTTTTGTGTAATACAGTAAGTGCACATTTAAAATAAATCCAGTTTTATGGACAGTGTTTGACATTGTTTACCAGATGTTTGGTTAGAAAACATACTAGGTATCATGGTGTCAAGGCTGAAGTTAATTTTGCTGATTAGCAGTTTTGAAATTTAAAAAAACAACAAAAAAATCATCAAAGAACAAAAATAATGACAAATCATTTTTTAACAGACTTCAAAATATACCTTTTAAGAGTAAGACTTTGTGGGTTACCTAATCATGAAATAGTTTACATAATTTTGAAATATAAAATTATATCAAAGAAGTTTTGGTGGCTATTTTAGTACAGTCATGAAATAAGTCTATTTCTAAGAGATAATGTTGGAGTGTAATTTAATTAAGAAACGTTTGAGAATTACTCATTGTAAGACTGTAAACAATGGCTACACATTATTTGTTGATTATTTTTTTGATCATACAGTAGTTTATCATATAGATTCAGAAGTGAATTACGCATAATTTCATGTTTTTATCAAAGATATATATACCTTCATTTATGAAAGTATTTTTGTATAGGTCAATTCTGATCATAACAAGGGATACTTGTAGTCCACTAATAGGCGATAGTTGACTCTAAACTCAATTACATTTTTGTGGAAATTGTTTTTTCTTAAACTTTCTTCCATTTTTTAAGTGTTATTTAATTGTCTTTACAGAAGAAAAACTGACTACTGGAGTTTGTCAAAATAACAGCCTTTAAGGTTTCTGGAGAATGAAATTATTCATGCGGAGAACAATAAAACATAAATATTTTTTTTATAATCCGTGCCATATTCTATTCAGTGAAGAAATACATCTGTTTTTTATTGAAACAAAAAGTGCTTTAAATTTGTTTTTGGAGTATATTATATCTAATCTGTTAGTGCTTTAACTTGTTACTAATGATGTAAGTAACATTTTAACTAGTAAAATACCAAGTTTCAGGAGAATTTTTTACAATGAATTGTGATTGTTATTTGGAGATGTACAAAGCTGGTTCAAAAGTTTGTATTCAGATTTTTTATGTTAAAAGAAAAAATGGTAAAATTTCATAGCCATTTTTGTGTGTGGAATATTGAAGATGATCAGTATGTTATTTGATTGCCAATTTAATTTTGAATTATTTGATATTTTAAATTGGCTCATATAGTAAAATCTCAATACAACCATTTGGACTAGCCCTGTAACAGAAATGTACCAAGTTTAGTTTTAGTATGCAAACAAACCATTAGTGTCAGAGGTGGACACATGGCAGCAACTTTTACACATATACTGTATATCATACATTGGAAACACCTGATGTGTCACAACAAATGTATTTGTAAATTCGATTGGTGAAATGACAAAATCTTAGCCCATCGGTTAAAAAGAACATTTTTAATTGTTCACAGCCATTCTCTTTTTGGGATAGCCTTCATTTACAAATACATTTGTTTCGACAATCAAATGATTCCAAACTCATTCATTTGGAAGGATTTACAAATTGAGCTACAGTGAAAAGTTTTTTTGTACATTTTTTTGTTGAAAATGTTAAAATTTTATGTACTTTAACAATTAATCTGAATCAACACTTAAAGACTAAGAGTGTGTGTATGATGGTTATGAATTGTTGTTTTATTCTGGAAAATTTAGTTATTTAGAAATTATTAAACTTTTCACTTAAAGATACTTTTGTGATTGTATAGCTCGTAAAGATTTCGTTCTCTATTGCCTGAGTGTATTCACCAGTACATTATGATTGCACGCTATGTATAGATTATGTCTTTGTCATGCTACAATATTTTTCCACGGATTTTTTTTTGCATATAATACACATCTAAGTTTTTGCCGTTTTTTTTTATACTTTGCAGATGTCTTAAGCAGCATTTAAGATATTTGATTTATGAGCATTTAGTAAGGTGAGTTATTGTTTGACAATTTAAAAGTTTAATGGAAAGCCAGAAGTAACATATCAATGTTTTTTGCCTTTTATGCACAGAACTTCCAGAAGATATAAAACCTTACTTAGTGTAACCTAAATGTTAGGGAATTACACAGATTTCATTTCAAAGAAGAAATTTCGAGCTTCTCTTTTTCTTTTTTTTTATGAGTAGCTCATTTTTCCCTGTGTACATTTATATGTAACATAAGGTGTGGTGTGTCTTAGAAATATTTATAACCATTGAAATGTGACAATATCATACAAAACATTTTCCTGAGGTCAATTTTCTAACAATAGTTTATTTGATGGACGTATTTTGGTTTTCCTGGTTAAAACTGAGAGGGAAATAAGAAATAGTTACATGAATTATATGAGTATTATGTAGTTTTGCAAACTTTACACCACAATAACAGTGAAAGTAAAAACTGCAATCTTAGTCCAATTTTCAAATAATAGGAGTTAACCTGTCACTAGACTAAGGTCCTGAAATATTATAAAAGTGCTTTTTTAATGTATGTTTTTTTTTTATATATCAATGGCCTTTTAAATCTCATTTTTGTGGGGTTTTTTTTATTAAGATAAAAACTGGTTGAAGAAGAAACTTTATGTTATTTTATGTGAACTACATTTCTGAGAAAAGTTTATTTCAATCTTTTTGCATTCTTTAATACAGGTTCAATTTTAATTAACAAATTTACAGTTTGCATGTTAGTTTCTCGAAATCTCTTAAGGAATTTGCAGAATCAAGAATTTATAGTCAAAAACAGTATATTTGTCTTACAGAAAAACTGTTTAAAATTTCTGTTTCCTAGTTACGTTTTAACGGATTATTCTTTAAATTTTTCCATTTCACTTCAAATGTATGAATCAACAGGTCAACTCTGAATACAGAAATTGTGCAATATTTTTCAAAAATGAAGTGTTTCATAACTTTGTATAAACATATTGTAAAAGTTATAAAACTTTTTCTGTTTAAAATTTCTAGTTTGTAAGAACACTGTTCAAACATGTTCTTTATGTTTATATTTTTGTGATATAGTGTTGCTTATAATTGGCCATTTATAGTTTTTTGTTATGTGCTAAAAGACAAGTTAAACCGAGAGCTACATATTTCATATTTATAAGATTTATATCTTTTTTTTCTGGATTGCCATACTGGAAACTGTGCCATGAGATGGAAGAAAATAATGTTTATTTCTTCTACAGATGTTCAACATGTTAATGGCTGTTATTTTTCTTTATATGATATTGCAAGTTTACATTTTATTCAACCATATTTGTGAGAATGTTAGTAGAATTTTGTTTAAGTATATTTAAAATGTACTTTAAAGAAGTTTTCAGTTTTCAAAGTTACCAATACAGATTTTTTTTCATTTTTTCAGTCCGCTACTCACTATGCCTTTTCTTTATAGACTTCTGTCCTCAATATTCATATTTTTTGTTATATATGTTATAAAATTATACTGGTTCTTTCCAAACCTGTAAAAAAACATAGGTTTTCAACATAAAATTTGATTTATGACAGATTTACAATATGCAAATTTGGTGTACATAGTACACAGTATAGGTAGTGCATAAAGAATGAACTACCATATCTTGATTTTTAACTATCAATGAAATCATTCTGTATTAGTTACCTTGAATATTTTATTTACTTCTTAACGTGAATTTGTGCCATATTTTAGTTTTAAACTTTTACTTTGTGTAATATATTAGTTGCAAACTTTACATAGTGTCATTTATAGCAACAATTGCTTATTTTATTTATCTTGTCTTTGCTAAAGCTTCTTTTCTTTAAAATCTGTCTTTTGTTTGAACTATCACAACTCAAGCAGAAACAATTAGAAATAAGTACAACTCTCAATTTCTTGTAATGTATCTATATTACCAAACACCTTTGAAAATAAATTAGAGAAATTGAATATAAAAATATACAAAGATAATTATTCAAGTTATTGTTGTGATGATTTCGTAAGTTATGATAATATTGTTGGAATTCAAAGATTCACTAAAACAATACCAGTTTTAAAGAATTATAAATAAAAATTCAAGACAGATTTTAAAGAAAAATTTAGCTGACTAATATTCTCACTTCCAATACCTGGCTATTTGGTGCTTGTTATAAATAATTCCACATTTTAAGGATTATATTTTATGTGAATTTATCTAGACACAAATATTATTTTTAATGTTATTTTGTTTTTATTTCATTTTAAGGAATTTGGTGCATGAATTTAAAGATAATATTTTTATGTGTTTCATCTCTTTAAATGGTAAAGGATATATTTTAAAGATTTTATTATTTTGTCAAATAATGAAATTTATATATATATTTCTTTTTTTTTGTAATTAAACATTAGCTTAACATTAGCTCAAGTGAAAGTAAGTGATACAAACTGTAATATAAAGTAAGACTTTTCTCTCATTCTACATTGAGAGATATATTGGCTGTTTAAATATCTTTTTTAGTTCAAAGTTCACAAAGTCACAATTTCATTACAACATAGGATTTCCTAAACAAAATGATATATTTAAATTGGTAAATTTTATGTAAAGACACCATTTTCTAACTACTTGTAAAAATCTAAGTACAGTTATATCCTTCATACTTTTAACATTTTGTTTTAAAGCAACATTCTTTCAGTATAAAATATAACTGCATATATATATAGGCAGTACAATTTTGTTTCAAAAATTTGAAAAGTGACATTTTTCATTGTCATAATAAAGATTGTTCTTTAATATGTATGTTTTGAAAAAACAACAAGTTACCATCACTTATTCTTGCTTGTACTATTTTGTTCTCCATATTATAATAAATGTTTGATGAAAATTGTCAGTGTAAAAAATCATTCATCCATTGTACTAATTGTGAGCAAGTTTGTGTTGGGGGCTGACCAAAAAGTACTTGTTATTTAACTCTATGAACTGACTGACCTATTCCGCCGCAGTAGAGCCAAGCTTGTCAGCACATTCACATGGTGTACATCTTTGCATTTTGACATAATAACTAAATTTAACTAAAACCAAACTTTTGACCGTACAGTTGCAAATACAAAGAGAGAACATTGCATAAAGTTTGTGGGACTTGAATATATAAGTACTTAATGGTCAACCCTTAGCAATACTTAGATCTGCATTGATAGATAGATATCCATGAGAAGCTGGTTTTAACGCTTTTGTCATGAAAGATTTTACTTTTAAGTTGTTGTTTTTTTTCCAATGATTTTAACAATCTGGATTTTTTTCCTAGAACTTTTATAGTTCTTATCAATTCTGCATGCATTTAAGGTTCATTTCTGAAAATATGTTTTATTCTCACCTATTTCGCATAATAACTGAATCAGTTCTTAACACTGCTATAAATATGGTGAATGTAATTGCTCAGTGGAAGTTCTAGAAAAAAATCTAGATTGTTTATTCAACTTGTCCATGTATTTTCTCATTTTTTTGTGCTTATTTTTATATATTTTTCTGTGCTACATTGTTTTATTTCTGACTTTTTTATCATTTCATATGAATATAAGTTAAGATAGTACAGTTTCTGATCAGACTCGTAAATAAGGTACCATGTGATCACACTTCAGGCAGAATTTTCAACCAAGTTTTACACCAATTTTATATTATTTTTTTGTTACACATTTCATGCTATGTAAATCTGTTTTCCCCACCAGCTTCTATTTCCCTCAACTTATTACCTCAAACATCAGTGTTGCTAGAGTTTGTAGACACAGCAGCTTTGATATGTTTAACTATTCCCACAACACATTTATTTCTTCATACTTTAATAGTGCCATATAGTTGTAAAGCGATGATGAAAGCTATGATGAAAATTGTGACATCATGAATTTGTTCTATTCAACTTAAGAAAAAGGTCAATTCAATTAACTGAATTATTAGAGGTTTTTAAATCATCAAAAAATGGCCTGTAACTTACATGTTATATGTTCCACTGAAATACATTTGACTAACTATTTCCTGTTCCTTTAACCAGCCATCATAGTTTTAAGCCATTATTAGAGGATTTATTTTATTTGACCATAAGAATTATATGAGTCATATATATAGAGAGAGTTATGGCCCCTGTCTGTTGTAAGATGGAGAGAATGTGTCACGTTATTTTTACAGCAGTTATATTATTCAGGGATCATTTTATGTGCCATTTTGTAAAAAAATCTTCCAGCTTTTTTTTTCTTTTTTTTTTTTAAGCTTTAAAACTAAAACTTGGTTGAAATATTCTTTGGATATTGGCTACTTTTGTTGTTCTTTGACTCTTTTTTTGTCAAAATTGGTCGTGTAAAATTTTCTTAAAAATGGCGTTTACGGCAACCCGGTGATTCAATGAAATAAAGCCATGAATCAGGTAAGTGTTGTTTACGTGGTACCAATGAGACCTTGTATCATTTCTAAATTCATAAAATCTTCCTTAAATTTAAATCTCCCTTTATTTGTAAGAAGTTTGAAATAAAACAAGATTTGATTATGTAAATGAGACTGAAATGGTAATCATTTGTAATTAATTAATTAATCATTTGATTTTAAAGGTCAAATTCATAATTTACCAGTTTGATCATTTTGGATACTTTCGGCTTTTTTTTTGCCCTGAGATTGATAGTGCTCTGTTAGTGCCATATTAATTGATATATATATATAGATATTATGTTTTACATTTTTGTTCATCAGCACTGTGAGAGAGGAACTCCAGTATATTATACAAATAAAACAATGAGACAAATATTTTGGTGTTCAGAAATTTTTTTCGAAGAATATTACGAAAATGTTTTTGCTTATAGATTTTTGAATTATGCTATGTGATTTTTCTATTGTAACACTAACTGCGATATTAGTTTTATGTGTTCTCTCTATAATTATTTTCCTAGGACTAAATCAAGACCATTTCCGATGTTTTACAGGAAGATTAATTAATATAACAAAGTGATGTCTTGAGACGAAAAATCTCTTCTTTTCACAGTTTAAAACGTAATGTTAAAAGAAAATTGTTGAACTTTACAGTTTAAGTTTTTTTTATATTAAATTTGCATTAATATGATGATTTGAAAAAATAAAAATTTTAATTTAATATAGTTCTAGTTGAAAATTCCATGAGGGAACACAGCTAGTATGGCAGTACATGATTTGGCGGTTTAAATTGCAAATTTTGGAGAAAGAAATATTTTGCCAATAAATTATGTTACTATATATAATTACGATGTAATAGTACTATATTTGGAGATAATTGGCGTTACAATACCACGCCTTTGTCCTCTCGGTGCCTTTATTTATTTTCTATGATGCATTGGATGCATCAAATATTTACTAGTTAAGCTTTTGTGTATTTACGTTCGTGTGTGCATGTTTAATTGAAAGTACCAAGTACATGTAAAATTGAATAAATATTTTGTCTGAAATTGAGTTTTGTTTGCATATGTACAGAATCCCTATCCATTGTGTTTCTTTTCAACACAAGTTTATATTATATAAATTTCGTGAAAATTTTATATTATATAATGTATAAATTAAGTCCCAGAACAGTGTAATAACCTGAGTGTACATCAGTTAAGCCAGTCATGAAAAGATTGATGGAAAATTATTTACAAATCTGACAGAAAATTATTTACAAATCTCATTTCTGACCAAAATAACCAACTGTATTGCTGATATTGACAAATGTACACCAATACAACCATTTCTTCACATTCTTATTGATTCTTGTTATGACAGAATTAATTTGAATGAAAGAAAATTGAAAGTGCTGTCAAAATTCAATCAAACCTTTTATTCTTTGGGTCAAAAACTGCCTAGCTAGACCAACTTTATTGTCAGTCTCTGGAAAAGTTGCCCACCAATATTATTATATTTCAGTCTCTAGCTTGTCAATGAACATCACTGTAGTTATTGTAAGAGTGGTGTTCAATTTAAGGCCAAATATGAGACTCCAGATTAGTGTTGAGCACCATCCAAGAACTCTTTCTTATTAGGTTTGATGGTCATCTGTCCATAGGTTCTTGAACTATCAAACATTTATTGACCTCACTCTTGCTTTTTACTTGGACTTGAGAGTAAACTTGCAGGCTTAAAATTTAATCATCTTTTTACTTAAGAACTGAAAATACGATAAACAAGAGCCACCAACGGGCGGGGGCAACACTCTACTTTTTACTTTTTCTAAAACCAAACAAAGAAATGTTTGAACAAATCTTAATGTTTCCTTTTTAAAAATTTAATCAGTCACATTAGTTTTGTCAAAGTATGAATCCTTTCCAAATATCTGCGCATGTGTATTACAGAAGAAAAAAGAAAGAAAAAGAAAATGTGTGTATATATATATATATATATATATATATATATATATATATATATATATATACACACACATTATATGTACGGAATATTTATATATGGTCATTTTATGCACAAATCAGTGAAAATTCAGTAATTTAACCTTCAAGGCAAAGGTCATAAAAGAGCCAAGGTCAATTTGTGTTTCATAAACATGAAGGTCTTGTCCTTAAGAATGTTCTGTTATAATATAAAGTCAATTCATTCAATAATAGCAAAGTTACAGCCAGTTACAGCCAAAAAAATGAAAATTTCAATAATTTGACCATCAAAGTCAAGGTCATTTATGAGTGAAGGTCAAAGTCTGTCTAGTTATTTTAAAGGGCTATCCTTGAAGATTTTTATGTTCAAGTTTGAAGAATAACAAAGTTACAGCCAATAATAGCAAGAACAAGCAAAATTTGGACTTTTGACCTTGAAGGTCAAGGTCATTTATGGAAGAAGGTCAATGTTAGTGTGGTTTACTGAAAGGTCTTGTCTCAAGGGTTGTTGTGGCCAAGTATGAAGACAATACACCAAGAACTTAAAAAGTTATGATCCAGGTGCAAGTTTGCGGACGGCAACGTCGCCAGGACTATAGCATACCTCTACTTTTTTTTAAAATGCATTCTATGACCTACTTTAGTTTAGCTTGTGAGGAAAGCTTGAAGCTTATTTGAACTTACCAGTACTGGTGTCTTATGGTAACATGGTGGAGACCCCAGTAAGGCTCAAACTCAAGATCCCAGGAGTTGAGTGGCATACTCCTTAACCACTAGGCTATCTCTCCCCCATCCACCTTAAGTATTACTTTTGTAAGTATTTACAATTGGTGACACTGTATTATGCATAATGAACATGAATACCTCATATACAAGAATTTATTTCATAAGGTAAAACCATGAGGAAACCAATAGTATCAAATGTGGACAAGTTAGTTGTTTTCAGACAATAGTTCAATAACCATGCTAACTAAAGATGTACCAGTGCATAAAGGTCTCAAAAATTGTTAAATTTTAAGTTCTCACCTTATTAATGGACAAAATGTGGACCGAATAGACTTGACATATCAAAATTACAGCAGTGACCTATGTTCATGATAATAAGTTCACAGACCAAGTCTTTATAGGTTAAATCATGATAGTCTTAATTCATTTTACCAATTCTAAAATATAGATATCATATTATGTCTTTACTTTAAAATGGTGTATTAAATCTGTAAAATTTTAGTATTTAAATATTAAACAACAAATAACTAATAAACTCCCACAACCATATATTTTCAGTGTAGACATATATCAGCTGTTTTCCCTCAAAGAGAACTGTTTTCTATTATTATTTCTATAAATCAACTGTACTTATGGACTATCTATCAATCAATAATAAGGTGGTTCCTGTATGCAGGGTTAACTTTAATTATGCATAGACTTGTGCTCATTCATTATTTTTATCACCTGTCTATGCTATAAGGAAAATAAAGTCAATAACTTTTAAATGAAAATAAAGTCCAGGTCAAACCATATATAACAAACACTTGAATACATATGCATCAATTTTAATGACATTACAGTACAAAACTGCTTGTGAACTAATTAATTCAGCATATAAAATCGCATCAAAACAACAAGTTTTGTCTCTTTTATCATCATCAACTGTAATATTCATTGATTCATGAATACAGTAGCCACCAAAATGCCCAAACTAATGAGATATTTGTGTGTAATGAATGAAGCTTAACAGCTTCAGCTTGCCCAATACAAACCAAGATTTTATTATAAAACTTTCAAAAGATTTACTCTTAAAAGTGAAACCAATTAATAAACTATGCCACAATTATTTATAATATCTGTATAGATATCTTTACAAAAGTGAATAAAAGTCTAAATGCAAATAAAATTATCAATTCTCTTTTGGTATTTTACTATTTTTTTTTTTACATTTATTTAAGACATTTTGTTTCTTTATGTAATATAAGCATTACATATTTCTTTATATTACATATGTGTTATATAACATGGTTGAGACTTCAATTTTTCTATATATTTCATAAGGAAAACACCATACAAAAATTGGTGTAATTAATTTAAACGAGAGCTGTCATTAGGAAAGCATGCTCGACTATCTCAGTACTTAATAGTAAAACAAGAGCCTTGATAATGCTGTATTTTCTTAGTTCAAAAAGGGCCAAAATTCTGTCAAAATCCATATTAAAGTTATGGTCAGTGACCTCCTATTATGCTTTAAAACAAATGTGTGAAAGTGTGTCAAGTTTCAATCCATTCCCTTCAGAGATTTATGAGATAGCAATTTGCATGCAAAAACCTTCACCCAAAGTGTGACGTCAACACCTTGGTATGTACAAAAACCTTCAAGTGTGACGTCAACACCTTGGTATGTACAAAAACCTTCAAGTGTGACGTCAACACCTTGGTATGTACAAAAACCTTCAAGTGTGACGTCAACACCTTGGTATGTACAAAAACCTTCAAGTGTGACGTCAACACCTTGGTATGTACAAAAACCTTCAAGTGTGACGTCAACACCTTAGTATGTACAAAAGCTCTCCGTATGCTTCAAATAGTTATGAATTAATTTCAATGCATTTAGTAATGAGATACAAGGAATCTCACATTAGTTGTCATATAAAATTTTATCAAACTCATCAAGAGGTTCACTTTTAACAATTTCATGAACTCATTTAATAAAATTATATATATTTTGGCAACTCATGTTGAGATCCTATATACAAGTTTCAACAGCATGTCAACAACACTTTGATAAACATTTGTTGTATTTAACATTTTTCTCCCAACATGTTCAAGTAACTTAAAAAAGCAAATGAATTAAATCAGATCAAGATTTAAAAACCCTTGGCAAAAAAAAGAGAAATTAAGCAACTACAATGATATATATGGTGGTTAAATTTCACATGCCCAAGAAATATACATAGCATAATTTGGATCAATGTATATCTATGACTGAATCATGATTGTAAAACCAACAAATATTGCTCAACAAAAAAATGTTACCAAACAATATGCTGCAGATTAAACAAAGGGAGATAACTATAAAATGGCACCAGTAAAAGTTATGCTGCCATTTATAGTTTGTTTATCTATTTCACAATCTGCAAATTGAATTTAAATTAGGGATGGCAACGAGTAACCGGTTAACCGAGTACTCGATCGAACGTTCGAATATCGGTTAACAAAATTGATATTCGATTACTCGGAAAAAATATATAATTTATATGTTTTTACAATTTAGAATAATAGGTGTGTCCAATTTTCGGAGATATGCATTATCTTCATTAAATACCTGTTAAATGTAATCAAAACATCCTTGCAGAGGTGCGAAAATGATAGGCGATCAACGGTTTGACACGCGCACATGTGTCGCTTATGTCATACAGCTCTTATGATATTCAGTAACAGTTTGTAGCGGAGTAACTATTTTGAAAACAACAAAGGGCCGATTGCTATTATGAATGCAACACTAAGGGGAACTAGTATTTAGACCCTTTTTAAACTTTTGTTGCCGCCGATCAGTCTATATTATTTCAAGACGAAAAAAGATATATGAACTGTCATACTCGTTTTAAACTTGCTATTGCATTAATTAAAACGTTGTAAAATATGATGTTGTTAAATTAATTTTAATTAATTTGTCTCCCTCCCGTGCAGTCCTATTTATAGCTACGAATTCTATTAATTTAAATAGAAAACGAAAGTAGCATCCGGACGGTGTTGATACTGTGAGATCATTGGAAATCATCCGAGTAACCGAGTACTCGATCGGAAAAATGACCGAGTACTCGAGTATTGATTTTTGTATTCGTTGCCATCCCTAATTTAAATTCAGAAAAGAAAATAATTCTGCACTTCTAGACTTGTCAAAGCTGTTATATACTATCTTGAAGTTTGAAGTCAATCCATTTTACAGTTTTTAAGGATTGTGGACCTCTGGTCCTTTCCACCAAAAGAGTGGGGCCAAATCTGATTTTTGTGGTATAATTTATAAAAATTTTGTACAGTACCAAAAGATGAGGCTACAAAGCCAATATCTGAAATTTGCTCTGCATGCAACCAAATCTAAGCTCTAGGATATGTAATTTCAAAGAAGACAGTTTAAATATGTTTTCTTATATAAGTATATGTAAACTAAGTGATTATGAGAGTCTTTTCTTAAGATTATTTAAAGTTTTAATTTTTAAGTCTATTTCTAGCTCCTGTGTCCTACTTACACATTAGACTTGAACCATTTATATAACTTATGTAGAGGATCACCAGGGGAATATTCCTGTGAAGTTTAATCAAAATCTACCACATGACTTTGGAGGAGATATTGTTAAAATAAGTTGTAAATAACTATACAGCTGAAGCATGACATATGATGGATATCAGTCTATCACAAACCTCACCTCCCATTCATTTGTGGTCAGGTGAGCTAACAAGAGCATGTCATGTGGTGCCAATGTTGGTCTGTTAAGTACAGAAATCAGTGTAACCTAACAATATAAACATGGCTGTAAAATTAGTGTAACCTAACAATATAAACATGGCTGCAGAAATCAGTGTAACCTAACAAAATAAACATGGCTGCAGAAATCAGTGGCTGCAGAAATCAGTGTAACATATAACATAAACATAGCTGAAAAATCAGTGTAACCTAATAAAATAATCATGGCTGCAAAAATCAGTGTAACATCACAATATTAACATGGCTGCAGAAATCAGTGTAATCTAATGATATAATCATGGCTGCAAAAATCAGTGTAACCTTTCATTATAATCATGGCTGCAAAAATTACTGTGACCTAGCAATGTAATTAAGACTGAAAAATTTAGTGTCACCTAACAATATAAACATGGCTGCGAAAAATCAGTGTAACATCACAATATAAACATGGCTGCAGAAATCAGTATAATCTAATGACATAATCATGCCTGCAAAATCAGTGTTACCTAACAATATAATCATGACTGCAGAAATCAGTGTATCCTAGCAATGTAACTCTTAGGCTGAAAAAGAAAGTGTCACCTAACAATAAAATATTGGCTGCAAAAACTCATTGTAAAGATGGCTGCAGAAATCAAAGTAACTTAAAAATATATGCCTGTAGGAATAGTTTACATTATAAAAGTATAACTGCAGAGATCAGCTACATTATGAATATTAGCTGCAGAATTTGATGAAATAAAAAATACTCAAAACATGGCTGCAGAAATCAGTATTATCTAACAGTATGAGAACATGGCTGCAGAAATCAGCTTAGCCTAATAATATGAACACATATAAACAGTGTTTAAATGTGACTAAAGAAATCTGTATAACCTTAACAAGAAGTTGATAAATAATAGGGGGGCTATGTAACCTGTCAAGAATTTTTATAACGATTAATATAGACCATGGCTTATGCCTTCAACTGAGAAAAAAAAGATTTTAAATTCAGTGTCACTGTGACCTTGAACTTTGACCAAATGTCCTCAAAATCAACAGGCCATGTCCCTACAAAGTGACATAAAGCACAGCTTATAGTTTCTTCTCAAGTTAAAAAGTGGGGGCATAAAAAATCCTTTTGTAATGTTCATGGAAAATTTGAAACAGTCCCTGTAAATCAGTGTTTGGACAATTATTATCAATAATTATAATTCAATGTTATTGTTCTTTTTCAGGCAGTATTTCTCATAAATTTCTTCCAATGTGCTTCACTATCCTACAGTTTATGGATTTTATGTAAAAATTTGTATGAAAACAAGCATTTGATAGTATTGCGGGCAATACAGTAGTCCCCTACCGGTCCCTCAAAAAGTTCTTTAATTGTCATACACTCCTGTGTATTGCCATTTATAATGAATTTGAGGATGAAGTCTGTATTTGAAAATATCGACCACAAAACATAATAAAATAAGTTTGTCTATATCACAGTAATGTGTTAAGTTTCCATGCTTAGTAAGGAAATTATGTTTATACAACCTTGTCATATTATTACGATGTGTGATTTTAAAGTAAATCCTATAAGGAATGAAGAAGTTGGAGTGAAAATACCAGTATCTCAAAAAAAATCTAAGTTCAAGGGGGACATAATTCTGGAAATAGTCTTGCTAGAGTATTTAACCTTCTCAAAAATGTCGAGTGATAATAAGAAACATATATATGAAGTTTGAAGTAGATACATTAGGAAATAAAGAAGTTATTTAAAAAAGACAACATTTTTTCCCCTAAAAAATCTAAGTTCAAGGGAGGTAATACTGATATTTTTTGTGCTAGAGTTATAAACCTTGTCACATATGATGTGGTTGATGACCAAAAACTTATATTTAAAGTTTGAAGTAAACACCTTAAGAAATAAAGAACATATAGTGAAAAATCTGAAAAATTTAAATCAGAAATCTTGAAATTCAGGCTATTTGTTGCCATAGCAACCAGAATTTTCAACATAAGAAAAAAAGAAAAAGATGTGCATAACCTCCAGACTGCCATCTACCCATATTTCAAGTTTCATAAAAATATTTTCAGGTAATGTGTTAAGTTTCCATGCTTAGTAAGGAAATTATGTTTATACAACCTTGTCATATTATTACGATGTGTGATTTTAAAGTAAATCCTATAAGGAATGAAGAAGTTGGAGTGAAAATACCAGTATCTCAAAAAAAATCTAAGTTCAAGGGGGACATAATTCTGGAAATAGTCTTGCTAGAGTATTTAACCTTCTCAAAAATGTCGAGTGATAATAAGAAACATATATATGAAGTTTGAAGTAGATACATTAGGAAATAAAGAAGTTATTTAAAAAAGACAACATTTTTTCCCCTAAAAAATCTAAGTTCAAGGGAGGTAATACTGATATTTTTTGTGCTAGAGTTATAAACCTTGTCACATATGATGTGGTTGATGACCAAAAACTTATATTTAAAGTTTGAAGTAAACACCTTAAGAAATAAAGAACATATAGTGAAAAATCTGAAAAATTTAAATCAGAAATCTTGAAATTCAGGCTATTTGTTGCCATAGCAACCAGAATTTTCAACATAAGAAAAAAAGAAAAAGATGTGCATAACCTCCAGACTGCCATCTACCCATATTTCAAGTTTCATAAAAATATTTTCAGTACTTTTTGAGTTATCACTGGATCCAGTTTATGTGTTAAATTTGCCATATTTTCAGACTATTTGTTGCCATAGCAACCAGAATTTTCAACATAGGAAGAAAAAAAAAAGACGTGCATAATCTCCATACTGCCATCTATCCATATATCAAGTTTCATAAAAATATTTTCAGTACTTTTTGCGTTATCGCGGGATCCAGTTTTGTGGACGGACGGACTGACGGACTGACAGACAGACGGACAGACGGACGGACAGACGGACAGACGGACGGAGGGTAAACCTAAAGTCCCCTCCGGTTAAACCGGTAGGGGACTAATAAACAAATTATTTAGGTACAATAACTTAATACATTATAATGTTCTATAGAAAAATATTTCTACCTGCTATAAAACATACACACTAATCACAATGATCATTTCTATTCATTAAAATATCAGCAAATTCCATAATAAACCTTTAAACCCTACAATATAACATGAATCATGAACCTTTAACCTATAACCTGCTGGAGATGACAGCATTTGTCACCAGTATAGAGCCAGGCCAGTCTACACATCCATACAGTCTGACCAGGCTCTATATACCAGTAGCTTGCCATCTTGATATCACTAACATTAACAGTTACAATATGGAAGACAGACAGGTTCATTTACGAATTTTAGCAGGTAAAGAGTTAATAATTCATAATAAGAATGAGAAGGAAATAAGGAGAAAAAGTAAATGGGAGAATAACAATAGTATTAGTGAAAATGCACAAAAATTATCTAAACAAGAATTTGTAACAGAGTTACCAACGTCCCCCGCCTCGGGAAGTTTTATATGAAGCATAAAATTGTGCTATTTCAAAAGATTGAGGTATGGATCTCAGGACATTCAGTCCAAAATTATGATCAATGCTAGATCTGCAAATGTAACAATAAATTTGTTAAAAAAATAAAATGAAACACGGAATTTAAAAATCTATCATGTTAAGCTTTGACCTCTAAGTGTGACCTTGACCTTGGAGGTAGGGGAGCAGGTGTTGTGCATGACATAACGTCTTATTATTGAGACTATTTGTGCCAAGTATTTTCAAAATCCCTTGAACTATGAAGAAGTTATAGATTGGACACAAAATATACCCTATAACAGACTATGTTAATCTTTGACCTCTAAGTGTGACCTTGACCTTGGAGGTAGGGACACAGATTACGCATGACATATCATCTAATCATTGTGACTATTTGTGCCAAGTATTTTCAAAATCCCTTAATCTATTAAGAAGTAATGGACGGGACACAAAATATACCAAATAACAGACTCTGTGACCTTGACCTTGGATGTAGGGGTGCTTGACATATCGTCTTATTATTGTGACTATTTGTGCCAAGATATTTCAAAATCCCTTGAACTATGAAGAGGTTCTAGATTCAACACAAAATATACTCACAGACTATGTTAATTTTTGACCTCTAAGTGTGACCTTGACCTTGGAGGTAGGGATGCAGGTCTTGCGCACGACACATCCTCTTATTATAGTGACTATTTGTGTGAAGTATTTTCAAAATCCTTTGATCTATGAAAAAGTTATGGACCGGACACAAAATATACCCTGTAACACTATGTTAATATTTGACCTCCAAGTGAGACCTTGACCTTGGAGGTAGGTGACCGGTTTTTGCGCATGACACATCGTCTGATTATAACAAACATTTGTGCCAAGTAATTTAAAATTCCTTTGATAAATGACAAAGTTATGGACCGGACACGAAATATACCCTGTAACAGACTATGTTAATATTTGACCTCCAAGTGTGACCTTGTCTTTGACAACTGGTTTTTGCGCATGACACATCGTCTGATTATTGTGAACAATTATGGCAAGTATTTACAAAATCCCTTCATAGATAAGAAAGTTATGGACTGGACACGACATAATACCCTCAAATAGACAATGTTAACCTTGAATGAGCAAGTACGACCTTGACCCTGAAGGTACGGGTCTGGTTGTTGCGCATGACACATCGTCTTATTATAACAAACATTTGTGCCAAGAAATTTCAAATTCCTTTGATAAATGACAAAGTTATGGACCGGACACAAAATATACCCTGTAACAGACTATGTTAATATTTGACCTCCAAGTGTGACCTTGACCTTGAAGGTAGGTGACTGGTTTTTGCTCATGACACATCGTCTGATTATTGTGAACAATTATGGCAAGTATTTACAAAATCCCTTCATAGATAAGAAAGTTATGGACCGGACACGACACATACCCTCAAATAGGCAATGTTGACCTTGAATGAGCAAGTGCGACCTTGACCCTGAAGGTAGGGGTCTGGTTGTTGTGCATGACACATCGTCTTATTATAATATACATTTGTGCCAAGTTATTTCAAATTCCTTTCATAAATGACAAAGTTATGGACCGGACACGAAACTGTGACGGACGGACGGACGTTCTTACATTTGTATTCTTGTTGGGTATTTTACTGTGTAAAAAAAGTACCCAACAATCAAAGAAAATACCAAACAATACATACGGAGTGAGTAGGATTGGTAGTTGTTGGGTATTCAGTACCCAACATATACCCTCTCATGCGCTTGGACAGACGGACGGACGGAGCCTATTTCTATAATCCCCTTTTTTCTTCGAAAAGGCGTCTATAATCCCCTTTTTTCTTCGAAAAAGGCGGGGGACAATAATCATACATTGTTTTAAATGTTAAAAATATAGTACATAACAAGAATCCAAGAAAATCATTCTAACACATGAACTTGGTTTGGAGATTATTTTCACAAGTACACAAGTATTGATTACTTGAAAGTTTGTTAAAATTTTAACATCTATGTATAATTGTAACTGTAGCAAAATGCTTTCTGTTCACATCACGTTTTTCTATAAAAACTTTTCACAAATATACACACTATTTCTAGTCTTAGAATTCTCCTATATCATTTAATATTTTGTCAGTCAGCATTTACCATTAATGCTATTATGCAAAAGAATCCATCAAATGACCTTCACCTGGTCTCATCTTAACTAATAAATGGTAACACAAATTGACAGTGTCATCTTTCATGTTGAACATGCAATTTTCTCTTCTCAAACACTTATGTTTCATAATAATTTTCACTCTGGATGTGAAACAATGATCAGGAGTAATTACTGAAGCATGTGAAGTTAGATCCTTCATCAAAGTGGTTATATTGTCAATAGTCAACGATCCTTTTATGGCTGTCAGGTGATCTTGACCTTGACCTTGATATTGACCGAGATCTGAAATTGAAATTGGAGAGTTACCTTAAACCAATTATTCTAAGCGTCCTAAAGAACTATTAAATTCTTATCTTACACATCAATAAAAAACAGCACTTACAAAGGAAGCGATGATTTTTACTTAAAGGTCATGACACAAATTCATATGCAATTTAAAGACATTCAGGTACAAAAATCATATAACATTATCCAAATCTGAGAGTCATTGCTTACATATTAAAATTTCATAAAGTACAAGCTTTTCCGCTATAAAAGGTTTTCCACATATAAAATATCATATATTATCCATTGCTTGAACGAGAGTGCCATTGTCACAAAATATGCCAATCATAAAAGCTGGTGATGTTAAGTTAGAAGGAAATCAAGTTTGGCTATTTCTAATGCTGGAAAGTGAATTAAATGTTTTAAATGAATCAAGTGCTGAATCATGTGTACATAATTATCGAATCATGTGTACATAATTATCTAAGTCCAAACACAATGGAAAATGTACATGTTCCTGCAGTACATACTATACAGGGTTCTGAATTTTGCACATGGCACAGATATGCTGTGGACATTTTTTCCCCAAAACACTAGGGTGCAACATCAAGTAATACTGAAAATCTCCATGCATGTAGAAGTTATGCTGCGGACAAAATTTATGGCAATTCATCTCTAGTGACTTTGACTATACACATACGGACTTGAATTATATGTGTAATGCTCAGCCTAATGATCATGAACGTAATTATGTGTTAGAATTCCTCACTTCAGGTTGACTAAATAGTCAACACACTCACTTTTTAATTACTATCTAACCTTTGACCTCTATGTGTTACCTTGACCTTTGACCTAAGGTCCTGGTACATGCAACTAGAAATGTGTCCATAGGACACGGGTGCACCCACCGCGCCACTGTTCTGTCAATCTTATGACTCTAGGTGAAATATTTTTTGAAAACTAAAAAATCTTTTACTAAGTAAAGGGCAAGAACTTTACAAATACTGAATAAATCCACAAGCAAACCCCAAGGTGCATAAGTACACATGCTGACCAACATTCTTGTAAACTTTCAGGCCTACAAGTGAAATACTTTTTGAGCTATGCATGAACAAGTTGAAAATTGCAAATTTATACTACTGTAAGTCAAGTGCAATAACTCTAACAAAACTGAAAAAAATCCACATGCAAAGTCCCAGGTTCATAGCTTCACAGTGATGTGAATCATTATTCCTATAATTTAGTGATGTAGATCATTATTTCTGTAAAGTTGGTTGATTCTAACTCAAGCACTCAAGGAACAACTAACGACATAATGAAACGGTTTTTACTAAGTCAAGGGAAATATCTCTACAAATACTGGATAAATCCACAAGCGAAACCCCAAGTGCAAAACTAAATATGCTGGGCAACCTTCCCATAAGGTTTAATGACTCTATGTCAAATCCTTTTTGAGTTACATGCGACAAAAGTTGAAAATTGCAAACATTTTCTAAGTCAAGGGCAATAACTCTAAAAATACTAAGTAAATCCAAAGGAAAATACCCAGGTGCACAACTACACATGCTGATCAATATTCCTGTAAAGTTTCATGACTCTATGTCAAACTCTTTTTGAGTTACATGCGACACAAGTTGAAAATTGCAAAATTTTACTAAGTCAAGGGCAATAACTCTAAAAATGCTAAAAAATATCCAGACGAAAATACCCAGGTGCACAACTACACATGCTGATCAACATTCCTGTAAAGTTTCATGACTCTAGGTCAAAAAATTGTTTTTGTTACATGCGACACAAGTTGAAAATTGCAAAATTTTACTAAGTCAAGGGCAATAACTCTAAAAATACTAAAAATATCCTGACGAAAATACCCAGGTGCACAACTACACATGCTGATCAACATTCCTGTAAAGTTTCATGACTCTAGGTCAAATACTTTTTGACTTAAATGCGACACAAGTTGAAAATTGCAAAATTTTACTAAGTCAAGGGCAATAACTCTAAAAATACTAAAAATATCCAGACGAAAATACCCAGGTGCACAACAACACATGCTGATCAACATTCCTGTAAAGTTTCATGACTCTAGGTCAAATACTTTTTGAGTTACGTGCGACACAAAAGAGAACGGACGGACGGAAGGACGGACGGACAAGGGTAAATCTAAATGCCCGCCACTAAAGCGGGGGCACAATATGTCTCATGATGGTCAACCTTTGTATCAATGGGTATTTCAATTATTAGGATTTGAAGATTTAGAGCTTAATTACATAATGAAACAACCTAACAATTTAATTAAGGGTAAATATCTAAGCGTATAGGCTTAAACTTAGTTTATGCAACATAAAAGACCCTTGGGGTTTTTCAATGGTCCCCGGGCATGTTTATATAATTTGCATAGATATGCTTCATCCCAAAATTTTTATTAAATCACAAGAATTTAAAACTGTTTTTTTAAACTTAATTGACCTCGGGGCCCAATTTTTAAAACCAGATTTAAATTTTAAAAAGGGAAACCCAAAAAAGCAAAATGTTCATCCCAAATCTTATACTTAAGTTTTCAGAAGGGATTTTTTTAATTATTTTTCCCAAAAAAAAGGGGCCCACAGACAGGCTTTTGGGGCCCCGGGGGGTTTATGAATTTTAAAGTTGTAAATTACTGGCAAATTTTTAAAACCTAATACCATTTTCATGTACGAAAATTAAGTGACCCACAAGTTTGACACCAGGCACTTGATTCAAATGACTTTTTGAGAAAAAAATTTAATATAAAATACATGAACAATTTTCGACCATTTTTTTCATTTTAATGTCTATTTTTATCCAGGGGCCCTTTATTTGGACCTTGTTTTACAAAATTAGAGGGCCACTAAGGATCATTCCTATTAAGTTTGGTCAAAATCTACCATGTTGTTTAACATTTTTTGTTGTTTAGAGAAACAACAACATTCAGTTATGAAAGCTAAAAAATTCACATTATGTGTATTAAAAAAAACTGATTTTATTTTATAAAGTTATCATCAATACCTCCGTTATTTACATTTTCTTTTAAGTGCTCTTTTCATTGATTTATGTTATTTCTTTACTTTGTAACCTTAATACAAAAGTTTGCTCGACATTAAAAATACCCAACTTAAAATTAGTTTATAAAAGTTGTATAAGTTTTAAAAAAAATGAACCAGGGTTTTACATTATAAGAATGATTTTCACACTATGCAAATTAGTTGCATCACATTTAAACATTACTGTGCACTCTATCTATCAATTTATCATAATTTATGACAAGATCAAAATCCTGAGTCAGTTTTTTGTCCACAGTTTAGCCAATGACTGCACTGTTTCCACACTTGACTGGCATAACGCAATGATATATCAAAATCACTGACACACGGACACATTGCATATATAAGTTTAATGGATGTTTATTTCTATAAACCTCCTTAGCCGCGGGCGAAACTCCCAGACGATTTTGTGATGGTATCGCAAAGTAGCCAACCATGCAGAGTTTAAACACGAAAGTGTTTATATCAAAAGTATGGTCACCATTTTTTAAGGTTATATGACTACCTGAGATAAACCTGTACCTTGTCCTTTAATAAAATACACACTTCAGTAACTTCCCACATCCTCTCTTTGTTATATTGTATGACAAAATACGGTAGGATCTATCATTTATTACAACTTGTTTAAATTTCCATATGAACAGAAAATAATTATATCGACACATAAGGAAATGTGAAAAAAGTAAACTATGACAGAGAAAGGGCAATACCTGCTGTAGTAACAGCTTTAAAATGTTCCGCTTTTTGTGTTTGTTTGTTTTTTTGGCAATTTAAAAAAATGCACTTACATATTCAGAATATACAGGCCAATTTAAAAAAAAAGCAGCTTTTAATATTCATTGATGACATAAGAATAATGTGTAGTTAAAATGGTGAATTTTGATAACACCCTTCTCTTCTCACAAATGTCCCATAAATCATCAATTACATCATGTTTAAAAAGTAGATACATGTACAACAATTTTTGCAAAGCCCCTATTGCTATAATTTTGCACTATATGTATTACTAAATTGCGATCAAATCTATTTTGTATTTATTGAATATTGATTATACGGCCTAAATAATGCAAAGGCTCAGAGCAATCATGTTTTAACTTTCACAACAGTTTTTTAAACTTCATTATCACTATAACATTTAACTTTTCCTTTTCATTTTTTTTTTGCCTTTTTGGTTACCTTAGCAACAAATATGCTTTTGAAAATCTAAATGATACCAGAATTATTCAAAGAGAGTCGTATTATTTCTTCCTGCTTTTCCCTGTACTCTGACCAGTCAATATACTTATGGCTGCTAAATTTACATCTCGAGTGGTTCACACATCAGACGTTTAATCTAAGGATTGCTGGCCCCATGAGTTCAAATCCCATCAGGGGCAAGCCTTTGTTTCCTTGAGCAAGAAACTGAACACTCAGTGCTTAGTACTGGTTGGTTCCAGGAACGGATCCAAGAGTGTTTCAATAATCTTAAACCAAAATAATTAGTATAAACTATAAAATTTTAACATCTTTTTTTCAAAGTCCAAATATCAATAAACACATAACCTGCTGAATTTGTATAATGGAATTGTCCGGCAATGAATTTGAAACATTCCATTTTAAATTTAATATTTCAATATCAAAATACAACACTTCAGTTACCTATAGTAGAGCCTGGTCAGACTGTACCAATCAATACCAAATAGGCTGCCCTAACTCTTACCTATAGTAGAGCCTGGTCAGACTGTACCAATCAATACCCAGTAGGCTGCCCTAACTCTATACTGGTAGCAATTAAACACTAGCCACTCTCAGTTCCAGCAGTTTAAAAAAGGAATTTAATTAGACAAAATGAGGTTTTACAAAGACGATGGGCAGCCAAGAAAGAGAAAAAAAAAAACATAACCCCCTTCTAATTAAAAAAAATGTTTTTTTAGAAAAATGCTAAATAATAGTGAACTTTTTATGGTGACAGCTTTC